CCCCCCCCCCCCCAAGTCGGACATCTTAGCCACCCCATAAATTATATCCTAGAGCTCCTGTCAAGGAGAAGAACGATCTGACTTTATTTAAAACCCGACTCGGGGTCTACAGTGCAAGAAGCAGGGACATAGCTCTTGGCCAAATGCAACAAACATTTTTGTGTTACTACAATAAGCTAGGCCTAGAGTCAGCGGTGAAGCCAGAGATTTGCCGACAATGGGTCTAACGGAGGTCCGAGACAAGCAAGCGCCAATGAAGCCTCAGCCCTGAAAAAAACCTCCCTTGGACCTTGTAGGGTGCACAGGGAGAGTTTTTATCGCTTAGAATGGTCCAATGTGCAATAGATCACAATAATATGATGACACTGTCGACAGTCAGTCAAAATAATGCCACGGTATGTTTAATTTGGATAGGTAAAAAACTATTATTTTTAATTTTTGATCCGAACAACTTAGGAGTGCGTCGAACGACAGGGGGTCTATCTAATGGGGGAATTCTCCCTGCCGCCCCAACCCCCGCTGTGCTGGAGCCACCACACCACAGACTTAGTCCCTGGTCTAGCCTACTACTACTTATTTTAGGCTTCCAGACCAGATAGCCAGCCCAGCCTACTAAGGCCTAGGCTAGACCTACCTACTAGGTTAGGCCTGGCCCTAGAGGACTAGGCCTAGCCTAGGCCTTCTACTAAGCCGGGCCCTAGGCCCCAACTAATAACAAGCCTAGCTGGGTAGGCCTAGCCTACTACTAGCCTAAGCCTCCTTCGTTCAAAATGATAGTTAATAATACTCATTAAACGTTTGACCTTAATGGTTATCTAAGGTATCAAATGAATGACTCCTTGTTTACTGTACGCTACGTACTACAGTTTTTGGAGGCCGGGGACAGAAACGGCCTCGAGTCGTCGAAGTGGCCGCAAGTCTATAAAACAAGTAATTTGTATGGAGCGCCAGGCGTGCAGTGTCCAATCGTTGTGTATGTTGGACAATAGACCTTTCCGGAGTGTCAATCAAACTTAACAACTGACTAATCAGAACAGCGCTAGGAATACGCACGCGTCTCACAAACACACGTGTTGTCCCACAAACGCACGTGTTGGCGTATGCTTTAACACTGTCGTCTTGTGGTACCTTAGCAACAATATATAAGGGGCGGGGCTTAGTGGAAAGGTCCATTAGGCCTACAGTAGGTATCAGAGTGCGATGAAAACTGTTTAATCAATTATCAAATCAATGTCTAATTGATGTTTTCCTAACTTGTGTTGTGTTTGTTATGACCCATTATCAGTTGTTACATTAAATGCAATTTAAAGGATTAACAAATATATACCTCTATAAGTTTTATCTCTTTGGTTTAGGCAGGCTTATAATTAAAAAACAAAACAAAACTTAAATTTTATGTTTGTACCTGTTTTATATTTTATCTTTATGATAAATTACATACATTTCCGAGTGACATTTTTCAACTGTGTTATTGAAACATGTTTTCGCACATGAAATATATTTAAATTTATTAGACTTCTCTCGAAAAAAAAAGGGTAACTTCGTCACAAAAATAAAAACAATAAAGAAATGCGTTGTGTCTTACTTTGTACTAATTTTATATTCATTAATAAACTACAGTAAGACTACATCCTTCCTTCTATCGCGCAGCCAGTGACGTGTGTGGATGGGGTTTGTACCTTTGTACGTTTGTGTGGGCGAATTTCCTCCGATCAACGCATGCGAACTGACTGACATACAGTAATTGCCCTCTCCCTCTCTCTCAGAAAAAATTGGAAACTTAGGTTTTCTTCGTCTGTAGGCCTATGTCTTGCCAATATAAGAGCGTGTGAACAGGCGCAGTGCGGTGTGAAACTGTCCAAAAATATCAGGGGCGGATCCAGAAATTTTCTGACGGGGTTGGGGGAGGGGGAAATAGGTAGTCCACACTCACCTCAATCCCACTATGGTTGGGGCTGAGATGAGCAAATTTTAAGAATAGCCCCCCCCCCACTAGACGGTCGGAAAAGATACTCTCAGGATCGACATTTGAATATTTTATCTCATTTTTTAAAATGTTTATAATGTATGAGCAACCCACCTCCACTGGATTAATATAATGCCATGCAGTCGATGTCAGTGACACGTTATGCTGTTATGTATCAATAAAGCCCTTTTTGGATCAGGGTGCTATGAGCGAGGACGCTACCACCATGCACACGAAGTGCATGGTGGTCCGGCGAAAAAAACTTAGTCTTTGTTCTGCGTCTTTTGACATTTTTTACATCCTGATTTATGAAATCGCTGTAAAATATCACCGTCGGCCGGGGATAGTAGCATAGTGTTCGTCAATCAATAAAAAATTCAAAATTAGTGAGTGGTAAAATAATCGAGCTCTCCTTTTGCCCACTGCTGGATATGCCACTGAACTCACGGTACCTTTTTTTCTCCTTACCCCCGCTATCATTATCACCATTATTATTAATCATTCACATCATCATCTCCATATCAGCATTATAACCATTGAATACTACTTAAGCATTTTCTTCTCTTTTTTCTTTTTATTATTTATCGCTAACTTTCAATCTTCAAAAGGCGTAATTACAAGAATACAAGCTCAATAATACAAATCTATTTACCATTTTGATCATTTTCTTGTTGCTATGAAACTTATTATTTATTGCAATAGACCTACATATTCTTATTACTATAATCATTATTATTGCTACTATTATTATATACATGTTTCTCATTCCAAAGTGACAGTCATTGGTATCCATAAATTACAGCTATATATAGCTTAAATATTATGGGAGAAGAAATGAGGCTAGAGCCCCAGCCCACCCCCGCCCCCAAAGGGACAGAATAAAGGGAAAGGAGGAAGTCGGGAGAGTAAAAAATCGTATCGAAAGCTCTGCATGATACCATTTCTCTATGTACTGTACTCTATAAAAGCGATCGTATTTTACAGTCGACTATACCGCACCACCACAACGCACACACATGGCCCTTATCAAAATTATTCACTGGATCCGGCCGGGTTCAGTAGTTGAAACCCAAAAAATGGACAAAACAAATCATATATTTAAAAAATATCGATTAAAAAACGAAACATGTAGCCTTTAAGTACACTGAAACAAATGAAAATAGACATAATTATCAGCAAATCTGATGTACGTATCCAGGTATTCTTAAGACATATCATTTCAAAAGATTGTAAAAATAAAGTGGAAAATATAATTAAATACTGTACTGATAACTGACCAAATAAAGTAATTTTAGGAATCAATTCAAAGCGTGTCTGGGAA